GGGTGGTCTGTAACAGAATCCCAGCAGGATAGCTGCCTAGTTTGCTTCTCCCCTCGTCCTTACCCATAAGCACTAGACTTTGTCATCACAATAATTGATTTCTATACAATCAAAACACTCCCTAACATACAGAGCCACCCCAGCGCCTCTTCTTCCTTGCCTATCCCTTCTGAAGAGCTTATAGCCATCCACTGCAGCACTCCAGCATGAGAGTCATCCCACCATGTTTCTGTGACGGCAACTAAGTCACAGCTGTCCCAGTGCGCAATGGCTTCCAGCTCCTCCTGTTTGCTGCCCATGCTGCGTGCATTGGTGTAGATGCACTTGAGCTGGGCTATTGATTTAGCCCCCAACATCGGCACGCTACCCTATGGCTCATCTCTAGTGAGCCTGGTTTTATCCCCTTCCTCCTTCAAACCTAGTTTAAAGCCCTCTCGACAAGGCCCACCAGCTCACAAGCAAGAATCCTCTTCCCCTTTGGAGACTGACATTGAAAAAGTCAGCAAGAAAACCTCCTAAATGTTACTTAGTTTGAAGTTGTAGAAGGCCGGCATTCTTTACTCCAGTACTGGAGCCACAGGGGATAACTACACCCAATGCGTCTGTCCTGAGTTTCATAAGCACTTTTATTGTAACAAGCTATACATATTCATTACATTTTACGAGAAATCTCCGTCTCCCTGCCTATCTACTCCACTTACATAATGTTGGCGTTGCAAAACTACACTATGCATGGGCAGGGGTCTTGGGTGGTTGTCAGGGGTTGTTTGGGGAGTTAGCCCCCTACTCCTTTTTCCGTTTTATGGTCACGGGTGTCCCGAGAATAGTTTCTTCTCCTTGGATGTTTGCCCCTTCTGTTGTTCAGCCAAGCGATTCTTTCTTCTCATCCTTGTTTGAGCACTCCTGCTAGGACGTTTCTATTCTCAAGGTCAAGATAATCTTCTCTGTACGCATTAATCTCTCAGTCCTTGCTCTTAACCCTTCTTCGGTTTGATTTCATGAGGCCTCTTGATTCTACACACATGCCCTGCTGCGCTGAGCAGGGACCTGTTTCCATTCCCCCTCATCTCTCAGGTCCCCTCCTTCTGCCCAGCAGCAAGCAGGCACGTGATCCTCTG